GTGCATTTTATTTAGTGATTAGCTTCCACAAAAATTTCCCCTGACTTTGGCAAGTGCGGGTCTTTCTTCTCCTCCAGCTAGTAGAGCTTAAGCAACACAACCAATAGGTGCTATGGTTAGCACTGAAAAAAAAAAATTGGCTGGGCTTGGCATGGCTCAGTGGTTAAGCATTGACCTGTGAACTAGGAGGTCACAGTTCCATTTTTGGTCAGGGCACATGACCTGGTTGCAGGCTCGATCCCCAGTGTGGGGCATGTAGGAGGCAGCCAAATAAAGTATATATAAATAAGTTGAAGGAGAGCATTTGACAGCCTAATCTTGTCTGCTCTGGAAACCAAGGGCTTCCACAGCAGTGTTGAGACTAGGCTTTGAGGATTTGTCTTCTTTCCTGGCTTGCATGCTCTCCAACACTCCCACTTTCTTGGGCCTATCCCTCTGCCTACACGCACCTCCTCTGGTCTCCCATCCTGTTTTCCCTTCCTCTAAGCCTGGTCAGGAAAGATCTCTGTCTCTAGCCATAGTATTGAGGTATTCCAGTCTCTGTGAGTGATTTTAAGGCTCCTGTGGGTGCAGGTGTCTGTTGAGTGATGCAGCTTACTAGGCAAGTCTGGGCTGAACCCAAGTAGAGCTCAGAAAATAACAAACACCAAAACCAAAAACCAAGAGGTGCGTGTTCCTCCCTAGGATCACTAGCTGTTTCTCCTAGGCATCCTTCAACACGGAACTTAGTCACCTCCTCCGGTAGCATTCAGACCTAAGTGCAGGGCACTTTTGCAGTAGTTCAGCAATTAAAATGTTTTCTTTCCCACCTGATCATAGGTCATCTACAACCTACTGTTCAGGAACTTTGTCAAACTCATTATCCACTTTGACTTCCATTAAAACTCTGATTTGCACAAAAATGTATCTCTTAATATACACATGGTGATCCCACCTGTATCAAAAGCATTGAGTAATTGTGCAGAGCAAGGGTATTTAAGTTATTTTAGGCTTTGAAACTTATTGGAACCCTTTTGAACTAGTGAATTCTAATAGTACTGTGTGTGTTGCCCGTGCCTGTAAAGAAGAAAATGATAACTTTCCATTAGAAGGTGGTGAAAATAAAGATTCTTTTTTTCCCCATCCATAGTTGCAGACTACTTGAATTCTACGGATTGACTCCATGGACTCTAGGGATAAGCAGAGATTTTATACACACTCTCTCTTACTAACTTTACCTTGAAAAGCTTTGAACATGTGTATGACTTTTTGTGCCAATAGCAAAAGGGCAGATTTATCTGATTCAGTCAAATTCACTGACAGTTACGTGGCCCTGTGGAGCTCCCTCCCAGATGCAGCCTTCTCTTGAAGCACTGAAAACATCTGGACATTTCCCCGAGAGACAGAGGTAGGTAGAAAAAATTGATTTCACCCACTAATATTTATAAACGGGAAATTTGGGGCAATTACATAAGGGCCTTCAAGGCTTATCTCTGAAGTTAGCAATAAAGTTCTATCCAGCTAATCACAAAAGACAGGTGGGACACAAATGTAAGCAGGCATATTTTAGTTTTCAGAAACATTCCTTTGGGTCTTCTAGTGCCCAGGTAGCAAGTAGTTCAGGTATCATTAATTTTTGATTGGGCAGGCTGAGGAGTAGTATCCCCCTCAGTGGTGATCAGAATTTTTTTTTCAGAATTTTATCTCACCATACTTGTTTTCAATACCAAATGCGCAGCTGAAATATTCTTTTCCTAACCATTCTGCAGTTTATAACATTACTGATTCCACTTTCCTGCTTCATTTGCAGGAAAAAAAGACATATTTTAGAGTCCAGAGATCTTTCAGCAGTGGTCAGAGAAGCTCTGGAGGCCTTCATGGGAGACTGTTTGGAGCACAAAAGACCATAAACATTCCTCCAATGCCCAGACTCATACCCTATATACCCTTGTTTATCTAAGCCAAACCAATGCAATAGCATAAACTAAACTGATTTTCTAATCCTACTGTATAGAAATATGACATTTGATGATGCTATCATCTGCCAGAGCTCCTCACATCTTTGGCTCAAATGGGAAAATGTCTGATCTCTCTCCCTCGGCAAAGAAAGAAATCAGGAAAATTTCAGATGCATAACTGGACTATTTTCCAATTTTGCTCTTTTAAACAATGTTAAATGATGATTATCCAGCAGTATCCTAGGAGCCAAGGACCACTGCACAGAGCCTGGGTAAGCATAAGCCTTGTTGCCTGGATGTTCTGCATCTAAATCTGCAGTCATCTGTTCAATCTTTTCTTCCTCACTTCTGACCAGGTTACCAACCCAAACTAGGGACAAATCTCTTCAGATCCTAGTCAAAGACAGACTTGAGGATTCCTGCAGTGAGAGATTGTCTCTGTTCGTATGGGAAAATAATTAAATAACTTAAGCCCCAAGAGGCCACCATATGTCTAGGTCCAAATTGTACAAAGGAGATGAGATCTATGAGGATTTTAGAGACATTCCTCCCCTTTGCTATGCCAGTTCAGGCTTTAGTCATTATTAATGGAACTAAGTATGAAAGAAAATACACTTGGATAGAATTTAATTTTCAAACAATGGTTCTGCAGAACATCTTTCAACAAAAGATTAAGAAACATGGCTAAAGGATTTTTCAGAACAGCATTGAAAAACTAAAACAATAGAATTTACATAATAACCACACCTCCCTTGAGAATTCTGTCATCAAATCATCCCAAAATAATAGAAGACAACCATTTCCTGAGTCATTTAACTTTTGTTAAGAAGGTTGCTTTTTCTACCAATAACAACAAAAAAACACCTTGGAGGCAACCATCAGCTAGTGGTGTAGTTAAAATGAGGAAAACTGGATGCTTGGAAGGGGAGACACCTAACCCTAAATCATATGCTTATTCTAAATGGAATATTATATTAAATTCTTTACAATGAAGGTATTCCTGTCTGAGCAGCTGTCAGTCACTCTCTGTTCAGACACCACATTGTAGGAAGATCATCACCACCACATTGCAGAAGGCTGGTGTCTCTAGTAAAGATGATGCAAATCATGTAAACCCCATCACCAAGATCAAAGTATGCTTCTTTCATGGAAGCCAATACATGTCAAACCTCATTCCAATCAAATCATCTGGAAATGAATTCAAGATGAATATGTCATAGACTAATGTGACAGTGAAACTGCAGGTCAGGGGTGGTTGTTTCAATGAGAGTGTCATCAAATATTAATTCTAGAACATCCAGATGAGTAGGCTTTGAGGGAGATTAGTCAGCTGCTGGTGAGACGTTGAGTTGCTGATTTGTGTGCAAATTTATTAAACACCAAGGTGTTGTTCTAAGTTTCACTTAAACTCTTCAAGACATATCTCCAAACTCACAACCAACATAAGCAAAAGACAAAACAAAATTTCCTACTTAAAAGAGAAATAACTTCAGCAAACCAATATTCAAAAGGGGATTTTAACTTACTCAACTCTTTCAGAGCCGTTTGGTAAAGTTGCAATCGTTTCCTCATCCCCAAGGATGTCTTATATCTATCTCATTTCCTGACTTTGAGCCTGTTGGAGGTAAAAAGAGAAACAGTTACTGGTTATAAATATGTATAAAAATATTTGTATGCAATGGTCTTGTGGCCCGCATGTGTAAGTGAAAAAAAAAAAAGTGTGGATCTGAAAAGTCTTTCAGTCTTTTTGACCATTTTCAAATTTGGCAGTGAAAATAAAAGAACTCTGCTGGGAACTTCCTGTATTTATTGCAAAACAACATATCCTTAAAGATAAAAAATATTAAAATCATCATTGCCCAACAAGTTGTGTTTTTTTTTTTTATTTTAAACTCATGTTATTCTGTCTTGCAGGTAAAAGTAAGCACTCAATTCAGTCAGTCAGTGTTCAAACATCTCTAACTTTTAGAATTTGAATTTACTGTATGAGAAGCTGCCATTATCTTCTTTAAGTGTACTAGTTGAGTTTAGTAAAATGGAATGGGGAGAGCTGGGACATTAGCAGATTAAAAATTGAGTTGTAACTCTTGTAACTGGGAGGAGAGGAATTACTTTGCAAATTTCTAGATCCTATTCTGTTCTGCTGGTGTGGAATCTCTCACATGGCTTTTTCCCCCAGATCCCTTTGGAAGCCATTACTGGTTGACTTTTCAAAGTTAATATAAAATTTCCCAGATTTCGAGGGTGGGTCTCATTTCTATCATCTGGTCCTGATTGTCCCACTTCTTATTTAAGAAAGTCAGAAACAGCCCTAGCTGGTTTGACTCAGTGGATAGAGCATTGGGCCTGAGGACTGAAGGATCCCAGGTTTGATTCAGGTCAAGGGCACATGCCCTGATTGCAGGCTAGATCCCCAGTAGGGGCATGCAGGAGTCAGCCAATCAATGATTCTCATCATTGATGTTTCTATCTCTCTCTCTCCCTCTCCCTTTCTCTCTTAAATCAATAAAAATATATTTTAAAAATGATAATAATAATAATAAAGTCAGAAACAACCTGCTCCCCATAACCCCCACAAGATACTTGCATATCAGATTCACTTTGTGGATAGAATCAGTAAGCCATTGGCCATCTTAAAGCCTGAAATCCACCCTGGGGACTTCTGCATCTGTCAGGGAAGGAAAGGCAGTGGAGCAGCCAAACAGAGTCAATCCACCCAACCCCAGCCCTCAATTTGGACTAGAAAGACAAACAGTCATTGAAAAGGTCTCAGGCTGGACAAACACAACAAGCCCTCTATCAATGAGGAAGTCTGCTTGTCTTAACACTCCAGTCCACAGAACAAGCGGTTGTTTAAGTTGTTGAACTGCAGGCCAAATCCAAGTGGGGCTCTGCTATCTCAAAGGCTTTCCAGTTCTCTATGTTCAAAGATCTCTTTCTTTCTCCCTCAACCCCCAATTGGGACTTGAATTAGCTTGGGTATTTTCACCCTTCCCTCTCCCTTCTTTACTAGGTTCAAGCCTGAGAGGTGTGTGTGTGTGGGGGGGGGTAGACTCACCATTTCCCAGAGGATTTTATTATTTTCAGTTTTTCCTAACCAAAAGGCATCCATCTCCAAAGGTAATAAACACAAATCAGAAAAGAAAGCAGACCCAACTTTGCATTCCTACAGAAGGGTGTCATGCTGGATGACTTTAAAATTTCTTCATGGCAGGATATCTGGCATGAGAAAAGTCCTGGTTGGTTGGAACTAATAGAAGTTTTTTTTGCTTCTGAAGAAAATTGGTGTGAATTTCCCTAGAGAACTCTGTCCACCCACAAAGCTGCCCAAGCCCTCCATTTAAGAGGCCTAGGCCACTTCCACTCCCAGGACTTGGCAGTCTCTTGTATGTTACAAACCCACAGGCATGCAAACAATTGCTGCAGAGGCTGGACTTCAGGCAGGCATCTCGGACCTTAAGCTGCTCTCTGTAGCAGCTCCATCACCCGCCAGTGCAGGAAACAAAAGTAAATATCTTCTTTGGTTCAAACTCTGACCCCACTTAGCAAGCTAGTCATCTTATTAAAAGAGGGGTGAGAGAAATGAGGAGCAGTTCGTGGGCCCCTGGACCTGAGATCTCCACCAATCCAAGGATTTAAAAGCCCTGAAAATGCTAGATTTGATTTCCTCCCGAATGATTGCTCTTGACTCCTCTTCTCACACTGGCCCTGACCAATGAATCACCAGTCAGGAGCACAATCTGGAGACTTATTGAAGTCTGCCTGCATTTCCACACCCTGAGAAGAGGGGCCAGCAAACCCTAATTAGTTAATTGTGCTGGGGGAGAGCCAAGAAAGTAGGCTGGGGGGGGGGAAGGGGTTACATGATAAGGGTACCATTTTGTGGGTTCACCCTAGCCTGTGTGGTCCTATTCAAGGTCAGAGGTCATCTGCAGTCTGATTCCCAAACTAGGGCCTCTAGTCCCCAAGACTTCAACACTGCTCCACACTGCTTAACCTGCAGACTTTCTAAGAAGACATGCCAGCCTGACCGCCACAGCTCAGCCAGCCTGGGTGCAGAGCAGGGACCCTATAGGCTGCCTCAAAGCTCCAAATCCAAAACTCCTCTCCACAATGGCCTGCTGTTGCCAGCTGCACCAGGCACCTCCCTAGCTCCCTTCCACTGGATCCTTGCATACCAGGAAGTTGGGATAAGAGTCTGGGTTGTGCCTTTTTACATTCTTCTGTTCCCTAGAGGGAAGAGCTGGGTTTTCCCCAGCTCATGGCTGAAGGCTGGTGACATTCTTGTGTCCACCTTAGAGTTTGCATTAGTAAGTCCCTTGAAGGATATTTAACTATGCCTTTGAACCACCCTTTACCCCTAAATTTGCCCGTGGCTAGATGGAGGAAAGAAAAGTGGTGCCTTTCTGTGGGTTGCTGAGCCGCCAATGCTGTCAGAAATTTTCTCCCCAAGGGGGGAGAGATATGACCTTGAAATCCAAAGGTGTCTTCCTGCAGATGGTGCCAGCCTTCCAACTCCGTTTCTCCTTTCCTAAGACCTCTCTAGATCCCAGGTGTCCTCATGGTCAAGGCTTTGAGGTAGTCCTACTTTCTTTCACTGCCCCACGCCGTTCCACTTCTCTTTTCCTAATTTACAGTGTCCCTAGATGGTTAGTGTAGTGCCCAGAATCCTAGGTGGTTGCAGCCTGTTCCCCAGAGAGCTAGTCCTAGCCCTCCTATGCATCTGAGAGAAAGAAAGCCAAGTCCCAAATCCATGGCAGGCGGCGCCGCGCAGAGAGTGGATCTCAGCGGTCAGCGTCCTGAGGCAGGACCAGAACGCGCGTGAGAGCAGTGAACCAGCCCGGGGCTGACCCAGCCAGCATCCGCATCTGCCGTCAGGCTGGAGCGGAGAAATTCCATCATTCTGCTGCCAGCCAGGATAACTTGGCTCCTTGGCCCTGGGAAGGAGCAGCGGAGTCCCTCCGGCAATCCTCCTGGGGGCAAAGCAGAGAAGCTGCTTGCAGGAGTCCCTTCCCAGCTCACTTCGCGAGAGGGAAGTTCAGGGCCACGACTCCCCATCCTGTGCCCACCTGGACACCCAGGCAATTTACAAGGAGAGAGGTAGGGAGGGCAGGTGGACAACAAGCTGCTCTTGGTCCCCTTCCCAGTTGGCGCTCCTTCCGATCCCCTTACCGCTCCCCCTTTCCTGGGGAGAAGGATTGGACTCATCCACGATCACTGCCCCTTGGTAGAAGGGCCCCCTTCCCCCTCAGTGTCAGTGGGGTAGAATCAATACCCACGGTTCTGGGGCTAAAGAGGGAGGGCATTGGGGGCAGGGGGAGTCTAGATGGGCATCTCCCCCCAGAAGGGTTTGGGTGCCAATAGCTCCCATAAGGGAGCTTGCTACCCAACTGCTGGGGGGTACAGGTCTCCTCTGCCTGCCCCCTGGACTCACGCACTTACCCCACTCCACCTGTTGCTGGGATCGCCTCATTTCTGCACATCACTTTGGGGTGCGGAGGGGGAACCACAAACCCCTCCAAGCCTCTCTTCGTGGTTCCAGCGAGGCGGTCATCCTTCATTTCTCTTTTTCCAGCTTTCGGGAAGCAGTTAGGGAATGTATGATGAAGCAGAAATGAGCCGTCAGGATATTTTAATGGCTTATATGTCACGTTGGTGCATGTGGCTTTGAACTGGAGCCTCTTTCGTTTCCTGCAGAGAGCGCAGCAAATCCCAATTGATAACTTCTACAACCCACAACTTTTTTTTTATCCCCTCCCCGTGCATTCACTCTTACCCTGTATATTTGGACGCGTTTCCTAAAAATATTCTTGTCAGAGTCCCTGGACTGGAGAGAAGACTTTTCTTTTTTGAAGAATTATTTTTGCTCTCTCCTTTTTAATGGCTGCCCTCCCCCCTCATGTTCCCGCCTTGTTTTTTTGTTTTGTTTTTTGTGTTTTTTTTTGGTTTTTGTTTTTTTGGAAAGTCGAGAGAAATGGGTTCAATATTTGTTCTCCCTAGGATAGCAGTTTAGCCTCTAGAGAAAAGTTGCAGGTAAGGTTTTTATAGCTGCGTTGGAGTCAGGTCCAAAACTCACATTATAGACAGTAGAAAACCTTTTGTTCAAAAAAGATATATCAGAGCCACTCAAAGTGTATACTTTATTTTTTAAAAACCATTTCTCAAGCTGAGCCCTTTCTTTCCATTTCTCATCCAGGTCCAGTCAAAGTTGGTACTGGGCTGCTGCACTCAGACTTGTTGCTGGGGACAGTATATTTGTTTTGTTTTTTTTTCTCTCTCTCTCAAATTTCTATTTCCCAGCCCAAGCACAAATGCTCCGCCAGGTCTTTTTAGATACTGGGAAACCATCCCAGTTACACAAGTCCGGTTTTGAGGGAGAGTGCAGGAAAAGGGCAGCTCAGTTTGCCAACCCCAGGAGAAAGTGCTGATCCTGTCTTCCTTCAGCTTATGCCACTAAGGCGGGAGACGGGGCAAAACAAATTCATTTTCATTTTCCTCTCTCCCAAGCACTGGAGAGTTTTCTAGCTGGGCTGCCTGTGAAAGGATGAGTTGAGGTTTCTTTGTTTGGAAAAAGAGTTTAGGGCTGATTCAGCTGCAAATAAGCCAAATGAAGTTAGAAACAAAGGGCAAATTGAAAGATTCCGACTCTTGGCTTTTTGTGTTTTCCTTACTAGAAAATAATTAGACCTAATGAATATGCAGACGTTTGAGCTAAATCCTCAGCCCAGGCTGCTGGGTTTTAAACAGAGCTGCGGAGAAATGCAACCTTTATCCCCCCACCCCCGAATCCGTGTGCATTTTTTGAAATGCATAAATGTTACTGGCCTTAATTGATTGAGTCACAGGGATTTTTTCCCTACTTTTAAGTGCCATACTCTTCTACCTTTCAACAATCATTTTAATATATGGTCAATGGCTCTTTGTGGACAGGACAAAAAGCAACTACGGGCAGTTGTTGAATAGACTTTGCGCTGGGCAAAGACAGGTTAATCGAGGGCCGTATCGCGAAAACAAGCGAGTGTTGTATGTTTGCACTGAATCCAAATGTCTGCATTTTCCTAACTAAATCAAAGGGAGTGTTATTTCTTTTTCTGCTCACTCATCTGAAGGTAAGTAAATTTTCTCTGGCGATCAAAAGCCTGGTCGGCAACAAAGACTGCGCCCGTTTTTTCCACCGTCCTGGTGTGGCGAGTTACGGAATTTCAATAACTGTGACAAGGGTGACTGATTTGTGAAGTCAAAAAGGTTTGAATGTCACAAAATTTACATTGGTTCTATCTATCAGGGATTTAAATACCAAAAAAGTATTTGGGGATTTCTAGGGAGCTTTGGACAGTTTTGAAGAACAATGGCACATTGGGAAATTTACAGTTTTACCTGAATGAAAGGGGCTCCGGTTGGAAACAGTAGTGCAGAAGGAGGGGGTCATGGGGGCAGACCAGGGAAACTAGGGAAAAGGGAGAAAAGAGAAGAATAACACGGGGGAGGGGAATAAAACTCAGCAACAATGTTTCCAATTTGCTATTATAAACACCCCAAACCTCAATAAACTAGAAAGTTAAGAGCTCTCATCCACCCATGTTTATTTGAGGGAGTGTGGGGGGGGGGTGAGCGAGGCAGGAAACCTGATGAATTAGATAAAAGTAAGAAAGCCGAGGGAATCGGTTATCCTGATATTTTGTAAAGAGAGAGTGGAGTGTCCATGTGCTCCCGGGATCTTAAATTATAAACAGGGCGGGGGTGGGGGGGTGGGGAGTGGAGAGCACGGCAAGAGGAAAGAAAACTTCAAAAAGAGCAAATAACAAAAGCCTCCTTTGCTGCCCTTGAAGGGAGGGAAGATGGGGGAAAGAAAAGAAAGTTGCTGAATCCGAACATTCTAGAAGTGCCTTAGCTGTGTTTACCAGCCCCAGCCCGGGCTCCTGCTCTCCCACACACCCGAAGTCGCTAATCGCTCAGCTAAGAGCAGGTTTGAAAAAGGACAAGACTGAGAAAAAGAGATTAGCAATAGAAATAGAGATGGACATGGAGATAGAGCTAAAGATAGAAAGGGAGAGACAGAGAGAGAGGGAGAGAGAGAGAGAGAGAGAGAGAGAGAAGAATGGGAGAGGAAGAGCGAAAAAGAATCAGGTTTAAAAATGTATATGACTGCGAGAAGAAAAAGGAATCATGCCCCCCCCCCAAATTTTTTTTTCTTTTTCCATGAGAAGAGGGGAAAATGTTGAGGAAAAAAAAAAGTTGCTTCTCTTGGCAGCGGGGTTGTCAAAAGGGGATGTCAAGCGCTTTACAATACCTGGGATTGATGAGGCGGGAGGGCCAATGAACAGCGCGCAGCGCCTAGGCGCGCCCTCAGTTGACACAGCGGCTGCGGGCGGGGTGAGTGCGGACGCACCAATGGGAGCCGGCGTTAGCCGCACGTGACACCTCCCCCCTGCTTCCATTCATCAGGGAGGGGCGGGGGTGGGAGTGGGGGGACACGGTGTCGTCCTTTCAATTCATTTATCTGCAGGAATGATTGCTGCTATCAGTCTCGCGCTCACCGCCCGGCTGAGGAGGTGAAAGTTTCTCCCCAGGAAGATAAACCGCAAAAGACAATATTGTGCATGATTTGCGCCTTTTCTTTGGCTTTTTCTTTCTTTTTTGCTCTCCGCTTATTATTATTATTATTATTATTATTATTATTACAGAAAGCAGAGAGGGAAAAGGGAGAGTGAAGGAGCGAGAAGGCGAGCCTGAGAAAAAAGAGAGCAAGGGCGAGGGTCTAGTGGAGAAGTGAGGAGGGGCATACGGCGAGAGGCGGAGAGTGAGCAGTTGCGGCTCCTGTGCTCACGTTCCTCTATGCTACAAATCCGGG